CTTCTTTAATGAGTAATGGGTGTGTTTTGGGCATAATGTACAATAAACCAATCAGAGTCTCATCTCCCATTCCTTTAAGAGCCAGTTGCGCTCGTGCCATGGCGGATTTGCTATTTACACGGCGGAATTTGCAAGTGCAAAGACAGAACGCGTCTCCGGAGATGAAACAGAGCTGCTCGTGTGCGAGCAAATAGGTAGCCTAATTGTAATACATGCAATGACTATCCATTATGACATGTAGGCATTTTTATATTTATGTAGCCTACACAATAATAATCTTTTACATTGCAATCCTTTAATTTTTAATATTTGTCATGTTTGTGTTTTGCTCTGCATTACAATTGTGCATTTGCTGTGTGTAATAAGCAGAGTGTACGCGCACTGTGGACCCGCCTATACTAATGCGCTCTTTAAATAACAAAAAAACTACTGCTGGTCAATGGTGCAGTCTATTTCAGTTGCCTCAAAATAGCAACGTGCAAGCAATGCGCCTGAACACAGCTCATTTTCAGACCAGCATGCCCATGGGCGCACAAATGGGCGCAAATGCATTTGCTATTTAAACAACATGGCGCAAGACGTGAAAATGACAACTGCGTCGGGCTGAAACTAGCAAAAAACACTTGCGTCGCGCCTGGCGCCGCATTGCACTGGGTGTATGATAGTGCCCTAGATGTTTGTCAGTGGTGCTCAGGATCTGCAAATCATTTGCCATCATCCTAGTCATCACTCCTTACACTGTTTATGTGGTAAGTGAAATTCTATGTAACAGGCTACCGCTAGCACGCTGCTAACCATGTCCCTTTAGTGGCTCCATAGAACGATTTGTGAATCGATGCGAATCGCTAGAAGACTGAATCGCGATTCATATGTGAATAGATTTTTTTCCCCCACCCCTACTGTAGGTTTCTTTCATCCCTCAAGACTGGAGGAACCAGTATGTTTTTTCTTCATGAAATCTCTAAAGTCATGAGAAAAATGATCTACGTTCATCCAGGTTACCTAGAAACTCTTTGTAGTGTCAAAGAGGGAGTCATGCTCTGAACGTTATGTCATGATGGTAGTGATAAATGTCTTAAAATAGGCCGTCTGATCACTCCTCCGGCATGTGATCTTGTCTTTGACACACAGGTTAATGGTTAATTGTTAAGATCGAGTGTACAAGCCCATCATTGTGTAACAGTGTCTCTGGCAACAGTGGGCGTTATTTTTTTTTTTTATTAGTTTAGCAGTTTAGCAGTTCAGCAGCTCATAAACACTTATACATAGCCTCTTTGGGTTTCAATTCAGTGGGCAATTAGCAGCTTGTTAATTACTCCTTTGGAGTCCTGCTGGGTTCTTGGAAAACTATGCAATTGTTTTTGCATCAATGAAAGATGAATGGAACTCTGAGTCCTTTATTAACAGAAATAGTCCATGTCTGACAGGAAAGAACAGTGCTTGTTTGCTGAAGCTCCAGATCTCCACCCACACTGTATCATATCTCACCGTCTCACCATCATCTCAGACTGTCTAGAAAGTGTCAACATCATCACAAATGTGCAATTCTAAGGAAGCCACTGGTATGGCCAGAGACGGATATCTGAGGCAGCCAGTTATAGTTTTGTCATCATTTACACTAATGTCAGTCCAAACCTTTATGGCTTTTCTTCTTCTGTGGAAGATAAAAGAAGGTATTTTGAAGCATGTTAATAATCAGCTTTGCAAACAAATATTTTTGGTACCCATTGACTACCCATTGAAAAAGAAAAAACTCAGTCTTTTTTCAATGTGTGTGCCATATTTAATGCTGACACAATAACCAAAAAAGTGATTATTGTATTTTTTTACTTGCTGTTACAAAGTTACAACAACTAAAATAAGAACACAAGTGATGCATGCCAAAGCAACTTTTATATTTTAATAGCTATTTATGTATTTTTAAGTTCTAATTAGCTGCACAGATTCCCAGCATGCACTGAGGCATGCATAAATAATATGGTTGCATTGTTTGACCATTTACCCATTTAATTTACGCTGTTGTTGTTTATTTCGTTATCATTCTCGTAATGTCAAGATGAGTTTGTCAGACTCAAAATGATCAGTTGTTTTTCTTGTCCTTGTCTATGTGTAGTGAAACTCTTTGGTTTTTTTGGGGGGGGGGATAATGTGCAATAACACAATAAGTTATTGCACATTATTTTCTATCCTATGAGCACTATTTTACTGTGAAGGAGAGAAGAAAGCGTTTAGGGAGCTCTGTGAATGCTGTTGGTTTCTGATGTCTCTCAAGCCTGGAGGCAGCGCTAGGCTTCTTATCTCCTCAAACGTCATGCCACACATCACTTCATACATTCCTTCCTCTTTTTCACATACTATACTTCCCTCTGAATTATAACATAGTGCTGCTTTAAATTAAATTTTCTTCCAAATAAGAAAGTATTTCGTTTTAGTCACTGTGTTTTGTCATGTTACTAACTAAAAAAAATTTTAAATACAGAGACCTTCTGCCTGGTCCGCACCTCTCTGGACGTGCTGCTGACCACCGCCTCCATCCTACACCTGTGCTGCATCTCTCTCGACAGGTAAAAACAAACACCCTTTCATTTCAGGACTCTCCTAAGGCGTCTTGGTTGCGTATGAATCAAGTGCTATTAATTGAAATTCCATGAACGTATAGTCTTGACATATGACTGCGGATGCTGTTGTCATGGCAGCCGTAAATTGTTTCGCTACAGAGGACTAGCACTTGAGAGTTTGCTCTGCGGACTGTGTATGGATGCTGTTTCCATGGCGATCTATGTGCGGCCACACAAAGTCCCTTGCCAAGTAAATCGTCCACCAACACTGTGATTACTAACCTAATAAACTCTTAAAGTCGAGCAACAGGCAAACGGTTCAAAATATGTTAATTGTAAAAGACTGAGAAACATTTTGTTGCTGGACAACTTAGAATTTGTAAATAGAAGGGTTTTCAGACTAGACGAGCACTCTTTGTTATAATCAATGTTGACAGTGCTGCATATTCTTGTGGAAATTGTCATTTATTTTTTCAGAATACTTTGATTAATAAAGAGTTTAAGAGAACATCATCTATTTGAAATACAAACCTTGATATTTTTGATCAATTTAATGTGTCCTTGTATGTATATGTATATAT